TCTTTCTTGTTTCTTTTCTCGTTCTTCTTGTTTCTTTTCTTGTTTATTTTGTTGTTCGAGCTGCCATTGTTGCAGGTTTTCTTGCAACTGCTGTTGTCTCTTAAAAGAAACAAGAAGAAATCAAACTACAGCCTAGCAGACTTAATGGCAGGGAAACGAGAAGCGGCATTTTTTTTTTATCCCACTCTCTGACACCAATTTGTTATGTCTTCGTTCGTTAGTTAATTTTCCGTAACTTCGTTCCGACGAAACTTTAGCGACACAAGTCCTTTCTTAAATAAAACTGGTTTATTCTTTCTGAATATAACCTTATGATACACTTAATTTCAACAATCGCGCTAAAACAAATGCTATAACAACGAACGTTAACTTCAACAGTACTCTCTAACTGCAGATCAATTACTCACTACCTACACATTGTCCCGTCACATTGTCACCATCTTATATATACCAGACTACCCCAAATCTAGTAATCTTGGGAAGGTTCGAGAAAGAAGTGGCGTAATACTAGTCACATGACCTCACTGACGCAACAATTCCATGTAAGCCACCTGCAGCTAGTATTTTACTAAATGTATGGCTCCAGTTTTAGTAAATATTCCATGTAAGCCACCAGCAGCTAGTATTTTACTAAATGTATGGCTCCAGTCTTAGTAAATATTCCATGTAAGCCACCAGCATCTAGTATTTTACTAAATGTATGGCTCCAGTCTTAGTAAATATTCCATGTAAGCCACCAGCAGCTAGTATTTTACTAAATGTATGGCTTCAGGCTTAGTAAATATTCCATATAAGCCACCAGCATTTAGTATTTTACTAAATGTATGGCCTTATCCCAGATTTTTTGCAACAGTTACCACATTGATCAAAAACATATAAATTGTGTAAAGATCAGTTGGCAAAGCATGAATGAATGGTAAGTACTGATTTATTGCCACAGGTCGATGACATTTAGTCTGGATAGCAATTTATGGTTTCTAAGATGGAATAGCATGTTTATCCTGTAGAGATTGTGATGACATCCTCACGAGATCTAGAGTTATAGCCTTTTGTTGTGAAGGTAAGCTTGCATTGGTTTCACAGTTGATATTATCATCTATTACTAACGGTTCTGGTGACAAACAACTTCATGTTCAGGATCATCTAAATTTGATAAGTCAGATTATTTGCCAGTTGATTATGGGATACTATGAATGATCACTGATTCATTATTGCATTGATAGAGTTGCCACAGAATGAGTAATTGGTTTTCTATCCAGTTTCTTCACTCTGATTAAAACTATCAGTTGCAGCATCAACTAATGTGTAACACTGATGATCGTGGCAGCAGTTCTTTTGACATGAAAGTACTAACACCATTCAGTAGTTGGTCTTTTACCAAAGAACTTGGGAACATAGTGGCCACATATAAAGCAGTATATCCACATGCATTCATAAACTTGATTAAGTCTTTGCTTCCCAAATCATGATGCAACCCAATAACTGTAATTTTAGTCCCATCAGCCCTTATTTTCTGGCAGTGTACAATTATGTCATGGCTTATTGAAAGTGTATTCATCTTATTTAAACCTCTAACTCAAGTGATGCATAAGGTCTTATTAGTGCACTCTACCTTAGGTCATCGCTTGGGTTTGTCTCCAGGTCAGTTTTGGCTTGGATTTCAGTTTGGCTTCAGTTGATGTTTTTCATGTTGTTTGTGTCTTCCCTTCTGCTTATCTCCTCATGAGTCCAGAACAAGGACTCTTGTGATGTAGTCCTGTTCTTTCCATAACACATGGTCTATCCATATCTATTTCCTTCTTGTGATGTTTACCATTGTTTCTTCTTGCGCTGTTTCTCTTCTCACTTCTTTTTTGAAATCTTTGTGGGCTACTGTACTTTAAGAATTATCCTAAGACATCTGTGGATGAACAAACTTAACTTTCTCGGTGTATTCTTCTGTACTACAAATAACATTGTTATGTGCCTTTTTGTGTAAAATAATACTGATGTTAAGGAGATATGATTTACATTGTTAAATTGGTTAAAGTGTAGAATTCAGAGTTGCCAATTACATAAGATACATGTCTTCTAAGAATATACATAAAACTTGTATTTTGTTGTACTATATTAGTTCAGCACTGGTGTCTCTCACCTTATATGCATTACTGTTAGATAGCAATTCCATGCCTTTGCTGAAGTGATTACTTGCTGTTTTTTTTTTCACTTAAACACTAAATCTGAACATCTAGGTTTCTCAATGGATATATTTTTTCCATACATAGCTTTCAGTTTTTCTTCAACTTCTAGGTCATATATTTTTCTGATCATCCCATTTTGTTTAGTACCTCAGTGTATCAGTTATTTATCTTAGAAAATTCTTCCACAAATATTTTTCTTGAAAATATTGATTGCTTAAGTTCATCTGCTAAACCATTCATTGCTTTATCATGAACTGTATTTGCCTTCTTATCTTTCCTTTATCTCATGCCCTAGTGATTAAGATGCTTGGTTTGCAAGCTTAGGGTCGAAGATTCAAATCGCCATCACTGAACATGCTTGCTCTTTCTTTGTGGGGTTGTTATAATGTGACAGTCAGTCCCAATATTCATTGGTAAAAGCATCCCTGTGCCATCAAACATGCTTGCCCTTTCAGCTGTGGGGAATTATAATGTGATGGTAAATCTCACTATTCATTGGTAAAAGAGTAGCCCAAGAGTTGGCAGTGAGTGGTATAGACTAGCTGCTTTCCCTCTAGTCTTTCACTGCTAAATTAGGGACGGTTAGCACAGATAGCCCTTGTGTAGTTTTTCACGAAATTTAAAACAAGCCAATCACTTTTCCTTCTATATGCTTCAATATTCATTGCTTGATCATAAACTGTACTTGCCTTTTCATCTTCATATTTCCTTAAAACAAATCCACTTCAAAGAAACAAAAAAAAAGAAATATCATCATGTTTACTAGTGTTTCACATGCTGCAAGGTTGTTATTCAACAATGGTTTTAATCTTTTCATGCACAGTTTCTTTAATCCTGAGATATGGAGAAAAACAGCTATAAAGTGAGAAAAAGATCAGGAACATCATAAATACAAATTATCCACAAATATCTCTTTGAGTGGTTTTTAAATCGACACTCAGAATAGAGGACTTTTTTTTAATTCAAGGATGAGGTTGATTTCAACTCTCTTACGTGATTTATCATATGTTTGTTCTTGCTGTGAATGAGATTATGTTGGTTTAACTATATGCTACTTGGAACATGTATGTATGTATAAAAGAATATTTATGGTCTACCATGAACAATAACTCGAGTATTTACAAACATGTGAACAGATATTGTGAATGAAAAGTACAGGAGGAGAATTCGAAATTGTTTGCAGTGCGTATAATGAAGATTGAAGAAACTGTACATCAAAAGATTAAAACAATTATTGAACAACAGCCTTGCAGCATGTGAAATGCTACTAAGTATCTGAGATTTCACTTTTCCTTCTATAAGCTAACATTCCTTGCTTAATCATAAACTGTACTTACCTTCTCATCTTAACTTTCCCTTCTGTATATTTTAGTGTTCATTGCTTGGTCATAACCTGTACTTGCCTTCTCGTCATTACTTTTCTTTACACATGCTTCGGTATTCATTGCTTGATCATGAAATATGCTTGCCTTCTCATCTTCACTTTCCCTTCTGTATATTTTAGTATTCATTGCTTGATCATAAACTGTATTTACCTTCTCATCTTAACTTTTTCTTTTATGGTTCAATGATCATTGCTTGATCATGAAATATGCTTGCCTTCTCATCTTCACTTTCCCTTCTGTATATTTTAGTATTCATTGCTTGATCATAAACTGTACTTACCTTCTCATCTTAACTTTTTCTTTTATGGTTCAATGATCATTGCTTGATCATGAAATATGCTTGCCTTCTCATCTTCTCTTTCCCTTCTGTATATTTTAGTATTCATTGCTTGATCATAAACTGTATTTACCTTCTCATCTTAACTGTTTCTTTTATGGTTCAATGATCATTGCTTGATCGTGAAATATGCTTGCCTTCTCATCTTCACTTTCCCTTCTGTGTGTTTCAGTGTTTATTGCTTGATCATAAACTGTACTTACCTTCTCATCTTAACTTTTTCTTTTATGGTTCAATGATCATTGCTTGATCATGAAATATGCTTGCCTTCTCATCTTCACTTTCCCTTCTGTGTGTTTCAGTGTTCATTGCTTGATCATAAACTGTACTTACCTTCATCTTCTCTTTCCCTTCTGTGTGTTTCAGTGTTCATTGCTTGGTCATAACCTGTACTTGCCTTCTCGTCATTACTTTTCTTTACACATGCTTCGGTATTCATTGCTTGATCAAGAAATGTGCTTGCCTTCTTATTTTATTTTTCATAAGCAAGTAAATCATTATTTGACATCATTTTGCTGTGGCTTTAAGGACATTTTCCTGTGCATATTTATGTCAATTTTCATTCCTTTTCTCACCTTTGCTACATGTGGACACCAAAAATGCTACATGGTTAATCCATAGCAGTTCTTTACTAATTGGATGATTTCAGCATTTAGAAATATGGCTCATGAAATTATGAAAATATTTATGAGATACTTAAGTACTATTTTATTTTTTATTTTTTCAGAGTGAAAAAGAGATTGTTGGTGTTCGAAGGATCTCAACATGCAAAGTTTCTGTTAACAGTTCAGATGGGTAGGTTTTATTCTTTTTTTTTATAGTTATTTGTTGTTTTCCCGTTGAAACTATTAGGTTGTCAAGAAATTAATGTTGCTTTTTTTAGATGAAAAAACCTGAACAAATTACATATCGAAACAAAACATTTATTAAATGAAATAGTCTCCATTTTCATCAATGATGCTTTTCCATCTTACAATCAGATTGTTAATGCCCATTAAAGAAATCA